TTTTATATTTTTTAGGTTTGTTGTTATCCATTTTTTACCTTACAAAAAAATCAAGAAAAAAAAGAAAACAATAAAAAACAACATCTAGAAAATACTAGATGATACGTATGAAGAAAGTTTAGAAGATTGTTCAAGTTGGTGGTGAATGACCAAAATGACAAGTGAAAAATTTTGAGGATCAAAATGTATATTATGATTTATTAAAGGTCTTATTAGTGAGAATATTTTATTTGGGGTAAAGAAAATACAAATTTAGATGAGTAAGGACTCAATGAGGATTTTCAAAGGCTTATGTAATTTTATCAGGGACTTAATTGTAAGGAAAATCAGTTTTTGGAGTCAATTTAAGTATTAATCAAAAGAAGTTAAAGTTTGGGAACTAAAATTAGACTTTAAAAAGTATACTTGGTTAAATCAAGGGCTTAATTGTGAAAAAATTAATGTTTGATAGCTAATTAGAGGTTTGGTTTAAAAAATTCAAAATCAATGATCAAATCATAAAAGGCGCGAAACTTCAAGAACTGAAATTGACCAAATCAAGATCAAATTAAATAAAATGAAAGTTTGATGGTTAATTGAGAATCAAATTGCATATGTCAGAAACCAACTATCAAAATAAAAAAGACATTGAACTTAAGGGCTTCAAATTAGAATTTTTAGTGGTGAAATTGTAAGAATTAAAAAGTTTTGTAGTTAATTAAGAGTGCATGTGTAATAATTAAAAAAAGGATTAAATTGAAATTTTCTAATCCTGAATTAAAAACCCTAATTTTTAGGGCTTAATATGAATGATGCATGACTCGAGTTTAATAAAGAGATTGGTGACACGTCAATCAACCAATATTCATCTCTTTCGTTAGTAGTTTTAAATGATTGAGTTGGCATATTCTAAGAGCTTGTTGTGGAGTTCTAGACCTCCAAATGGTATGAGATTTTTTATAAATAGAAAAATAACATCTTCTATACAATCTCATTCCTATGAAATTAAACTTTTAGATCTCAATTTTTCCATAAAAATCTATAACGTCTTGTCCTTAATCAGTCATTATTACATTTTTAGATTTTAAGTTAATCTAGTTGGCACATTTAAGTGAATAAATGTGAGGATATAAACCCCTAACTGAGTAAAGATGGATCTAAATGAAATGTGTACATCTCCTTTACTAAGTTTAGATGGTTTTTGATGATATTTACATTAGAGTTACTTTAGCAAAGCTTGAAAAGTGGTTAAGTGAGTTTTTATAAAATACATATTTGCATAAAATCAATCACCCAATTTTTATGTGTATTCACACTTAGAAACTCCTAGAGGGTTTTTGTAAAGGGTCATAAATATTTCATCTAAGATCAGAAGGTGAAAAATACATGCTTTTATCTCCGAGAAAGGAAAAACCACTTATGCAAAACCATCATCCCTAAAAATCACCAAAGGATAAAGGTTCCAACCATTAACATTTGTTCAAAACTCTCTTATTTTGATTGAAAAGTTGAGCTTTGATGACTATATTTGAGAATCCATTAAAAACCCTAGAAAAAAACTATAAATACTCTATGAAAAATTTGAAAAAAAAAGTAATATAAAAAAAATAAGGATATACCATGTAAAAAAACCTGGCATAAAGGTTCAAAGACCTATGAAAAATTTGAAAAAAAAAGTAATATAAAAAAAATAAGGATATACCATGTAAAAAAACCTGGCATAAAGGTTCAAAGACCTATGAAAAATTTGAAAAAAAAAGTAATATAAAAAAATAAGGATATACCATGTAAAAAAACCTGGCATAAAGGTTCAAAGACCTATGAAAAATTTGAAAAAAAAAGTAATATAAAAAAATAAGGATATACCATGTAAAAAAACCTAGTATAAAGGTTTAAAGACCTAAACATATAACAAGCTTTAGAAAAAATAAAAAGTGAAAGGGAAAGATGGAAGGAAAATAAAAGAGAAGTAATTGCCTATAACCATCAAGTTTAGAGAAGGTATAACCATATGAAAACTCAAAATTTGAGTCTATGTGGCTTATACATTTATGCTTGTTCAATGTTAAATGATGTTTTTAAATCATTTTGTGCATTGTTTTATGTTTTAGCATTTATATGGATTGATATATGAAAATATTGTTTTAATTAATTAATCTGTTTTAAAGTTGTTGTTAATGTTTATTGGATGTTTAAAAGATGTTTGGATGTTGTGTTTGCTTAAATGCAATGATTTATGGAATATGCCAAATATAATTGTAGATTTGTGATGATTTTTTCTAGGTTGTTAATGTATGTTCTTGGTTCTTAAGTTTGGTTTGGGTTTTTAGTGTTTAAAGATTCAGTTTTTAATTGATATATGATTTTTTGTTTGTTGATTATTATTGGGTTATAGTTTGGAATGAAGAATTTAATGAGTGATTTTGATGACTTTTTATTTTTGTTGTTTGTTTTGAGTCAAACATGTTTGTTTTCGATGATGTGGTCCGCGAAGACCAAAAAATTAAAAGTTTAAAGGCATATAAGGTTAATTTTTGCGTTTGACAATAGCTTAGGTATTTTCTAATCAACTTGAGTTCATATTCTTCATGTTCAATCGAAGAATATTGTCTTGAGTGTTGGTTTTAAATTTTGTCTCAATTCAATTTTGGTTTTTACAAGTTTGCATATCATCATTAGTCAATAGTCTAGGATTTTCATGCATCAATAACATGTTCTTGTGGGTTTTAATCCTAAGGTTTTGATTTTGAGTCGAAAATGATCTTTGACAAAAATCATTCTTAATCTTTTGATTTTGAGCTGAATGGAATTTTGGCTTAAGGATGTGTTTGCCAATGTTTTCATTGAAGAAATTTTGGTTTAAGGACATGTTTGACAAACACGTCTTTAAACCTGTTTTTACAGTTTTGTTTTGAAGAAAAATATGATTTTACCAAACATGGTCTTATAAAAAAATAATCTTGTTTAAAATAAAAAAATGATTTTCACTTGTTGCATGCAACACAATTATTATAAAAATTACATTTTATTTATAAAAAAAAAGAAAAAAATATTTTTTTAAGAACATACCCGTGTTAATATTTCCTTGTATTTTTTTTTGAAATTTATAAGAAGTTTGTAAAATTCCTTAAGGATTTGACCAATTTTTTAATAACCCTAATTTTTTTTCATGAAAATTAATTGTCAACATTGTCATATACATGTTAGGTCTACAAATGGAATTGTATTTAGATACAAAAAGTTGACTAGAAAATTTTTAAAATTATTTTAGATATTTATCAATTTTAATTGCAAGTATTTTTCATCATAATATATAGGTTGTGAAAAACATTGTCAAGGCGTCTGTATGGATTTTTTCCATATCAATTTATTTGGGTATACTAGTCTATAATAAATTTAAAATACTAAATTTATTCATGAGCATAAATCTTTGTTTTAAATCATAGAAGAACCATCGGTTAGTAACCTATTAATACCTTTAAGTCATATTTAGACCATACAATACAACTTATCTATGGTAAAATATGCTAGAGATGTTAATATCTTTTTTAACCACAATTCATCTTTTACCCTGTAATCTCATATAAGACCAGTTAATCACGGGTCTCCTAGTGATTTTGAACAAAACAACTAGGTGATAATTCTTTAATCCTAACATTCCACCGCGCCGCACATGCCACTTGCAACAAGATTCATTAGTTTTTTTTTTTATAAAAAAATCAAGTCTCACCCGAATTGATGTGGCCACTTATAAGCTTGAATTTGTATTATGTAAAACCTAGTTAAGGCTTCGAGTCACTAGGGTATTAAGTCTGGAGTTAATCCACTAGGTCAAATTGAGTTTCATAATTATACTTACATTAGATTGTCTTTTTTATAATATTTTAATGTAATTGTTTAATCATTTCATAATTATTATGTTTCATAACTTGGTTAACATGTGAGTTAGAGCCATAAGGTCACATGTTGCAGTGGCACTAGCAACATTATTTTTAAATAAATGATTTATCATTTATGTATTTTTTAAAAAAAAAATGGATAACATTATTAAAAAAAAGTCCATCAGGCCTGCTAGTGGACCGATTGTTAGGCTTGATTTTTTTCAGCACTCTAAATTTTTTTATTATATTCACTTACTCTTCAATTTTGAAATGATTTTTAAGTGGTATAAGTTTTTGTTTGAATTTTAATATATTTTTCTATTATTATGTATATGATATGAAAATAATAATATTAATAATAAATTGTTCATGAAAATTAGATTCATATTATTTTTTTATTTTTAAATAGATTTTGAACATGATTTTATTATATATATGATTCTTTTTAACTTTCAACCACAAATAAAATATGAACATATTATTTTAATATTTTCGTGTTAACTTACTTTAACAATCATAAAATGTTTTTGTAAAAAACAAAAACAATAATTCTAGTTAAAAAAATATTTTATTTGCTAAAATAAACTAGAGATATAATAATACAAAAAATTATTTTAATAAAATAAAAAATAACAATAAAACAATGCCAAAATAATTTATTGAGACCAATTTTTTTTTTATATATATTTCTAGAAACCTTGGCCCCCGTGTAATGTAATGCAAACACGCAAACTAGGCTCAACTATATAAATTTAGACACTAAAAGTTAAAGGAAAAAAAACACCATAATTCGAGAAAATTTAGGATTAGCATGGGGTGTTTTACAATGACAGTTAGTAAGGTTAATATGATTAAAAATTACGAAAAATGAAGTGTGTATATATATTTTTTAAATCATAACTGAATTTTTAATAAATGACTATTTAAAAATTCTCAGAATGTTATTTTTTATTTTTTTTTACAATTGACTCCTTTTATCCTTGAAAAAACTAACGAGACGTTACCGAAGAAGGACACACATTACTAAATCTTAAAGAACTACATAACAGAAGAGTAGGCCCAGCAAGCCGAAGCCCAAGCTACCTTAACCCACTCCCGTTTTCACGTCTGAGTAAAACCCTGAAACCCTAATTTCATTCTGCAGCCGCTATATATTGCTAAAAGCTTGGGACGTCTTAACACTGCTGCAATCCCTAGCACCGAGAACTCAGTGCCGCCTGCCTCTCTAGCTCTCTACATTTCCGACTTCCAGGTTTGCAATTCACATTCTATCTCCGTCGCGATGTCTCTCTCAAAATACAATAACTGTCTTTCCTCTCTGAACGTATTTGTTTGTGGTGCCTGTAGGTAAGCGGTAAAGATGGCAGAAGCAGCTGTGGTGGCTCCACCAAATCCGGAAGTTAATCAGCCACACCACGATGTCAAGCTCTTCAATCGCTGGACTTTCGAGGATATTACCGTAGGTTTTTTTTTACCTATCTCTCAGTGGTTCTGCATTAAACGATCTGTATTATGGAATCATGTTTGGCTAATTATGTAATTATAAGTGATCTGCCTTTTCTAGGATTTGCATTTTTTGTTGTGTTTCTTTTACTTTATCGGGAATGTAATGCGATAAGTATTTAATTTCTAAAAGATTTGTTATTGTTTGCTTTTTCCGTTTTTGGTATTGAATAATTTATAGAAGCATTGGTTAGGGTTTTAGTTTACATGATTTGCTTTTAAATGCATCTGCAATTAATTTTTTTCGTGTTTTGGTGCATGGATAGATTTAATCGATTTTTTGGATGACTTGTGGTTTTGATTGCTGTATTATTCATGTTGGATTTTCTCTTATACATAGAATTGGTTTTTTGATATTTTAGATAAGCAGATGAGGTCGAGAATTGTACTAAAAATCTTCGTGGTTGGAAAATTGTGTAATATTTGTGTTTTAACAATGTGTCAACTGTGAAGTAGATATAGGTGGTTTGACTTCTTAAGGGTGATTATGGTTCCCGTTTGCTATTTGTTTTTGTAGGTAATTGGATTTAAATTTGACTGAATTGCATAGTGTTGAAAGCTTAGCAGGTTATTTCATGGATTTGGTTCTGGTCATTTTTAGTAGTAGCTGTATTTCGTTTTTAGTTTGAGTTGATCTAATTCGTTCATGATACCTGGGACAGTAATGGGTGGTTTAGGGATTTCTGAAACTGATGGATCACACATCTTAACAATTGTGTAAAAAATTGCTGAGCTGTATAATGTTACTGAACCTGGGAATTAATTTGTTTGTTGTGGATCAGGTAAATGACATTTCTCTTGCTGACTATATTGGAGTCCAAGCTAAGCACGCTACATATGTCCCACACACAGCTGGGAGATACTCTGTCAAGCGTTTCAGGAAGGCCCAATGCCCAATTGTTGAAAGGCTTACAAACTCACTGCAGATGCATGGCAGAAACAACGGAAAGAAACTGAAGGCTGTGACCATTATCAAACATGCTATGGAGATCATTCACCTTTTGACTGACCAGAACCCAGTCCAAGTTATTGTTGATGCTGTTGTCAACAGGTCCGTCATTAATTACATCCTTTTTTTTCTTCTCTTAGATTGCTCACTGCTGGGATTATCAGCAGATTATTTGAATGTCGTCTGTTCTGTTTTTTTTTCATGATCTTTTACTGTTACTGTTGGCTACCTGTTTGACAATATTTTTGATCTATAACAGTGGGCCTCGTGAAGATGCTACTCGTATTGGCTCAGCTGGTGTTGTCAGGCGTCAGGCTGTTGATATTTCACCTCTTAGACGTGTAAACCAAGCCTTGTATCTCCTTACCACTGGTGCTCGTGAGGCTGCTTTTAGGAACATCAAGACCATAGCTGAATGCTTGGCTGATGAACTTATCAATGCAGCCAAGGGTTCCTCAAACAGGTTTTTTTCTTTCCTCCTTGGCTGTTCCTTTCATAATTGTTTTTCTGTGCTATTGGTGATTGTTTTCATTTTCTTCAGCTATGCCATCAAGAAGAAGGATGAGATTGAAAGAGTTGCCAAGGCCAACCGTTGAAGAATCTATTTAGAATGGTGGGTGGAGTTTTGTTATTCCTTAGACAATTTTTTTTTTAAACTTTTTGAGGGTCTTAATTATTTGGACATGTGTTTGCTGTCCCTGGCAGAGAGGTTCTTGCTTATTTTTGGAGTTCCATTATAATGTTAAGAATGCAGTAGCAACTTTAATTCTTGCTGTGTTTTTGGTTCTTCTTGATGGTTGGGGGCGGCTTGTTTAGCTGAGCATCTCGTATTTTATCTTCTTTTAGTTATAGTTTGGCTTAGAGTAGGTGTCTGGTTAGCTTACACGGTTTTGGTATCTGTCGTTCCCTCTGGGAGGTCATGGTAGGAATTTTGTTTCTCTTAGGAGGCCTCTACCCGATTAATTTTGGATGGCGTTGGATCATCTAAATCGTCAAGCCATCTGAAATCACGTCTTATGGGTATTATAAAAAAGATATGGCATGTGCTTTTTTTTTATATAAACATTGTACCTAGAATTGTAAAACCAGCTAGAATCCCAAAAAACATTATACACAGAATAATCTCTCATGAAATAGGAAGTATTATGAGCATCTCAACACACGAAAATCTGTACACAGAACAATTTTTATTCATTTTTATGCTTTTTGAATTTGAAACATCAGTATTCCGTATTCCTTCCTTTCCCTTGCGCAAACATTATTGTTTTTACATTAACTTAGAGATTCCTCCATTTTTGCAAAATAAATGAGTTCTTTCTATAATTTTAAAAACATTAACATTGAGATTCCTTTAATTTTGCAAAATAAATGAAAAGTTCCTGTAATGTTAAAAAATTAGTTTATTGGCTCTTGCTCAATTTAATATTATTTTTTAAATTTACTTGTCTGGTCTTTCTTCCTTCGCCATTAAAAAAATAAATAAATTAAAAACCAATATAAAATGGATTTTTGGAGTAATTATCTATTTTTTAAGTCTAAAAAGAAACTATTATTTGTATATTACAAATTAAAAGAACTGATTTATAATATAAATGTCATACCCCTTTCACTTTCACTTTTTGGACCAACACGTGGCATTACGTTACCACTTTAATAATAATAATAATAATAATTAATTCATTAAAAATCAGGCTTAAACATCTTTAGCAATATTAGTCTTAAAAACGATGAAACCTGTTCCATCAACCACTATACAGAATCATGAATAACACTGATGGGTAATCGAAGACGGATTCATAAGTGATTCCTCCTTTGTGCTCGACAACAACCCCAATTGGAAGAAAAAAATAGCCATGTAAAGGCGCAATAAACGAGCTGTATAGCTGAATATCGTCAGTCGCCGATCAAAGGATCACCACCGCTCCATTTCTCAATCAATGGGTCCGTGAAGGACAACCCATCAGCAAATTTCGGTTCCATGAACTCATCACGGGGCTCCGGTCTCTTGAGTTGTATGTATATATTTGTGTGTCCACTAAAATGGGCTTTCGAGAACAAACAATTTGATTGCCTATTGAGTGTTTGCTGTTATTAAAATGACATTTTGATACAGTTCTCTGTTTTGTAGATGGCATATTGAGAAGAGGAAAATGGTATTTTCTGTTGCCTGGCTGGTTCTAGCTAGTTCAAAGTTTTAGAACAAGTATGACAAAAACAAACATGTTATTTCATGTTGTTGTCTTCAAAGTTTTTAATTTTGGCCCCAAATGTCTAATAATTGATTTATTTAAAAACAAGTTATCGAACTTTCGTTGTTTCTGACAGGTATTTGATGGACTTTTGGTTCCGTAAGGAACACACACCATCTTCTCTCTCTTTTTAGAGTTTGTTTTAAATTATGATTAGATTGTATTTTTCTAAATTTTTTTATTTTTTTAAATAAATTAATATTTTGATATATAAATATTAAAAATAAAAAATATTATTTAAATATATTTTTAAATTAAAAAACATAAAAAAATAACAATAAAAAAATCAAGCTGCCACGTAAAACATTTTGAAGAATTATTTTATAACTTCGCTTCGCAGTCTTTCGAAAGCTTGATTAAAGAAATGTTAAACGAGAAGACCCGAGTTGCAATATGTCTAAATCACAAGGGTCAAAATATAATTTATCCAAAAGAACTTGATCCATGCTATTTTACCGATCCAAGCAGTTAGATCTAAACCCGAGCACAACTAACAGGTAGCTGATGGCGGTGCATTGATAGGGTCGATTGATCTGTCGGTTTTATTTTGAAGAGTGAGTAAGCAGCGAAAATTTGATTTCCAATTCAAGAAAATGAGACCTAACATTGTCACCGAGGTAAGCTCTCCTCCATCTCTGTCTTCTCCTTTTCGACTCTAAATCTTTAATTTTCTTTTTTGAGTTTAGGGTTTTCTTGTTTCAATTGAAATTATGACAGTTTGGGGATTTCGCTTAGCTTTTTGTTGATGATAACGTGGTAATTGCGTATAGTTAACTGTTTAGTTAGTGCTGTTGGGCTTGATTTAGAAATCTCTACTTTTGCCCTTTATATTTTTGATGAATTTATGCAAATGAAGTTCATTTTGTTTTCTTCTTTTGTAAAAAATGAACTAGTATATTTGATAGCTTAAATGACTGATGCTCCGATATCATTTGTAAATAAATGAGGGGATAACATGTTGATGTTGTGATGCAATCTATTTACTTCTTTCAAATGATTTCCTTTGTCGAAGCAAGCAGAATGTGCAGTTCGATACAGAACTAGTCAGTAAAGCATTCCGGATAATGTTTATTATGGGTTTATTTATTTAGTAACAACGTTGGTGTTGTGAGTTTTCAGGCGGGACTGCAAACTAGAGCGGGGCAATGGTGGGAAAGCATTCCATTCCTTACTTCTGCGGTTGTGATTGTTTGTGGTGCTATATACTTGGTCTGCCTCCTGATTGGATATGACTCATTTTACGAAATATGTTTCTTGCCAACTGCTGTTGTATCCCATTTTCAGGGTATGTTTGTTAGGTGATGCACTTCATTCGTGATAATGGATTAATGAATTTTGGTCAACACTGGAAGATATTTTTGAAACTGTGTTTAAGGTCATGATAGCTTGGGAAAATTAACTTTTGCCTGGCCTTGGTCTAAGGAGGAACCCTTTTAGCCCTGAAATCTGTACTGGTGCATTAGGCACCTATACCGTGATCCTAACCAAACAATCGTTTCATTCAATCTGCCTATAGTTTCAGGCTCCTTGTAGGCTTAGGAAAGAAGGATCAAAATTTTAATTTTTTTCATTTGATGCCTAGATGTATGTTGTCACTTCATCCTTATCTTAAAAAAGGGATTTATCCAATGCTTGTGGTCATTAACTTTTCTTTCTTTCTTTTTTTCTTTTGCAGTTTACAGGATTTATACCTCAGTATTTTTTCATGGTTCACTCCTTCATATTCTGTTCAACATGCTGGCTCTTGTTCCTTTGGGTTCTGAACTGGAGAGAATCATGGGATCTATCCGCTTGGCATACCTGATAATTTTGTTGGCTACTACCAATGCAATATTTCATCTTTTTATTGCATTTTTGGTGGCCCACAATCCATTTCACCTATACCACTATCTTATGGATGAGTGTGCAATAGGCTTCTCTGGAATTTTATTTTCTATGATTGTTATAGAGACGAGCTTGAGTGGAGTGCAGTCTAGGAGGTTGGTTCTTATTTACCTATTCTTGCTGTGAAATTTAATTTCACCGTGATTATAATACTCATCACTTGTTATTATCACACCAGCGCATAATTAGATGTGTTAGTGATCCTGTGTGGATGCATGGGAATGAGGATATCCTTCTTTTAGTATATAGTTATCACTGAGTAAGTATTATTGTTGATTATTCTCGAACAATTGCAGTTTATTTTTATGTTTGTGGTCTGGATGCATGTAAATGAGGATATCCTTCTTTTTGTATATAGTTATCACTGAGTAAGTAGTATTGTTGATTATTCTCAAAAAATTGTAGTTTATTTTTATGTGTGTGGTCAGTATTTTGACTGACACAAGGAGTTTTTTGTGTTTTAATGACAGTGTAATCTAGTAAACATTGTAATTGATTTATGTATTTTCTTGGTGCATTCTAGTGATATGCAACTTCATTATTTGTTTTGCAGTGTTTTTGGTCTCTTCAATGTTCCCACTAAGTGGTAAGTGTTGTAACTGCTTCAGTATTGTGTTATTTCTTATATTTGAGTCTCTTTTCTCTTCAATTTTCTATGTTTAGATAATGATGCGGCATAATTAAACACATGCTACAGGTATGCATTTATCTTACTGGTAGTATTCCAGCTTCTCATGACGAACGTCTCTTTACTTGGACACCTATGCGGCATTTTGTCTGGATTTGCATGTATGTAATCCTTGTTTCAATTTGAAGGTTATGCATACTTCTTCATACATTGTGTTATACTCCGTCACATAAACAGAGAATGTGAATGGATTTCTATCCTTTTACTTGTCAGATACCTATGGGTTATTCAACTTTCTTATGCCAGGAGCGTCCTCCTTTTCTGCTATTGAGGCCTCCTCTTGGCTTGTAAGTACGCTACTGGACTGGCTTCTGATGATAGACAGATTTATTTCCCTGTTATTTAATTAGACTGTTATGGTGTATTTGGCTGTTAAATTACAGAGAATCTGACAATTCTCACTCTGGCACACATCTATCCCAACTTCTTGAGGGTTCTGGCCTTGTGAACTTGTTCTTTCCAAATTCCTTCTTTGACTGTACCTCCACTTCTTTTGCAATTTCTAGTTACAAATAAATGGGTAACTATATGTTGTTGATGTGTTTTCAACAATCATATTTTATCCTTCACCTGTGTATTTACATATGATTCTATTTACCCATTGTTCTAAGTGTGATCTATTCATTTATGACCTTCAGTCCTCCTGCGTGAGGAGACCTAAATTTATTTTGTGCACTGGTGGGAGTCCTACAAGCTACATACCAACATATTCAGGTCAAAACACTACCTCCAGGTAAACTCTGCTTGCTCCATGGTCCAAGGAAATTTTAATCCAAGAGGATATGTAACTTGATAAATTTTATTGAACAGTGGGCTATTATCTGGAAATATTTGGAGAAATTTATCTTCATGGATGCCACAGAGGGAAACATCTGCTCAGGTATCGATTTATATTCCTTTGAAAGTTTTTATCTTAATGTTCAAGGTAAAGATGCAAGTGCTGGTTTTCCAAATGGTTATGATTCTTGTTAAATATTAATGGGTGTCTCTGTAT